ATTTTTTTTGTTTATATTCTTTATGCTAAGTAGCCCGCACTTTCAACTTAAAAGTTAGAGATATAAGATATTCTACACGTACACATTTCTAGCATCAGTGCCTGGGTTAGCTGTTACTTCTATATTCTTCTAGGCATGTGCAGAGGTGGTAATAGCTGTTTTGAAGATGGAAATAATGTAACCTAACTGGAACTGTTTAAAGTTTACATGCTTTTAGACACTGCTTTCCAATAGGCAAGATCAGATTTGTTTCTAATACTCCGGCAGTATCATATTTTGCAGTAATATTTCCTAAACCTGTATAGATGGCAGTGAATATTATCTCGATGAGTGATGTGCGTGATCATTCACATCAATGTTTATCTTCTTTGCTTCTGTCATAGGTTGGACAATCTTATTCTAGAAGCTATAAACAACTTGAGGGAACCTGGTGGTTCTAACAAGAACACTATAGCTACCTACATAGAGGTAGTGACACTCTCCTCCAGCTTTTGTATTAAGGGTCAGATTTTGAGATTTTATTTAGTGTTAAAAGCTTGCCTATTAGCTGTGCATCTTTTTAAGTATTCTGGTTGTGCTGCAGTATGTCCCGATGCTACAATGTAAAATTAAGCTTCCATGTGTAATTTTGCACTATGAATGCCATTATATTCACTCACCCACAATGCTTTGGCTACATATTGGATCATTATGTGAAAGGTGGTATTGTCCATTGGTAATGGCACTTAGATCACAAAAGTTGCTTTAATGAACTGCATTTTGCTGCTGAAACACAATATATTTCAGGTGAATAAAATATGCATGAATGAGTAAAAACAGGATTTGATTTTTTTTGTGTTGCACTAAATTTGTCCCGAAAGTTCAATTAAGTGCTGAATTTTCTGAATTTGTTAGGCTGATATCAAAGTTTCTTGCTGGAAAAACTTGCATCTTTATAATAATTAGATCATAATGAAGTATCATCCATCTTTATTACACTGGATGGTATTGTTTGTCGAAAAAGGGTTCAAAACTTCTTTTGATGCCACTTCAAAAGTTAGAGTGGCACCTTTTGGGTTTTTATCACTTCATTGTTACTCCTACAACCAATCCCAGAGTATTTCTCTAAGCTACTTTTTGTGCCTCGTTTAAAAGAGGTGAATACAATATCTGAACTCGTATCAACTTATGAGTTGCAAATGCACTTTGACTAAGAATATTAGCATGCTGCAAATAATGTAGTGTAGTAGATGAATCTTTTCAATAGAATATCACACTTGGTTAGCTAAGCTAGGTTTTACTTGGTGCTTTCAAATGATAGGTCAATGAGAGGATTTCTAAAAACCACAACACATGCTGTCTCATTGCCAGTAATGAACTCCAAAGGCTTACATACACAGGTCCTTTAGTTAAATATTCCGTGGTGTAGAATACCGCTATTCTGAAAACTTGACATTGCTTGTACCTAATAAATCAAGTTCTTCATTGGCTTTCTTCCAATCTTACAGGTTTTTTTTCCTTTTTTTTTTCTGTAGGACCAATACTGGGCACCTGCAAACTTTAGAAGGATATTATCTGCCAAATTGAAGCATTTGGCTGCAAATGGGAAACTTATGAAGGTGATTTTTGCCTTCCACCGTATTCTTAATTGAGTACTTATTGTGGGACTGTTTTCCCTGTTTCAAAGCTGCATAGGATTGATAATTTCATTTTCTTTGAATCCTTTAGTTTAATGTCTGTGAGAGTACTTGTGTTTGATTTTAAGTCTGCTCATCTTTTACAGATGAAACGGAAATATAGAATAGCTCCAACTTCTTCATTGTCTGAGAGAAGAAGGAACCCTTCTATTTCACTTGCTGGCAGAAGGCAGGGGATTTCTCTGAGAACTGACCGTGATGATGTCAGTGATCTCACAAAATCTCAGATCGATTTAGAGTTAGCCAAAATGAGGAGCATGACTCCAGAAGAAGCTGCTGCGGCTGCTGCTCAAGCGGTTGCTGAAGCAGAAGCTGCGATGGCTGAAGCCGAAGAGGCAGCACGAGAGGCGGAGGCAGCAGAGGCTGATGCTGAAGCAGCACAGGCTTTTGCAGATGCAGCATCAAAGACCCTGAAAGGAAGAAGCACTCCAAGTATGGTAAGTTTATCATGAGAATCTATTTATCTTGATGGTGACGTTAAATTTCATGGAGTGGTTCCTTGGGAAGGTAAATTCTAAAATGTGAGTTCTTTTTCTCTGCAATTCTAGTATCTAGTGCCTTCTATAAATATATGACGATGATATTTTTGTTTCATTTCCTAATGGAAATAGTGTTTTGAGCAATGTTCTGAAAACCGACCCTGGCATCGACCCGGAAAAGAAAGAGGGTCAAGAGTTAAAGAATCGAATCGGGGTTGAACCGGATGCCAAATTAAATAAATAAATACAAACATAAACTATAAAATATTATTACAACAATAGATACTTTAATTTTAGTTTGCTAATTAAAATTAAATGTAAATTCATGTTTGTTAATTGATTTATGATACTAATTTAATATGTTTAAAATAATTTGTTTGTGATTATAGCTTGTTGGGGACTATGATTTAGGAATAAAAATAATAAAGTAAACTATAAAATATTTGTAATTGAGAATTGGTTCCCATATCCCACATCGGAAGAAGTGTGAATCAATGGAGGAAGAATCTCTTATGAAAGGAGTATTACCAAAATCAGATTTTTGGGCCTGCCAAATGCCTATGCAAGGTGAGCCCATCAAAATAAATATTAGAAAAGTTTTGTAAAAAAAATCCAATTAACCGGAAAATACTGGATGGTTCGCGGTTGAGCCAGCCGGTTTAATGGTTTTTAAAACAGTTTTTTATTCTCTGGTTAATGTAAATATGACCAGACTGGAATTGAGGCCAGTTCGCGGTTTTTCCGGTTGAACCGGCCTGTTCGGTCAGGTTTTTATAACATTGGTTTTGAGTATGGTGCTGCAATGGAAAAGCCTATCTCTATTACAATGCAGAAACTATATAACCAAATCAACCTAGACCAAAAAGCTGTAATTATGTCTGCTGGTGCTTGATTAATGCTACTCTCCACTACTACATGAAGTAGTTACCAACACCGCTTTTGGCCACCGTGACTAGATAATTCTACTATGCAACTTTACCCTGTATGCTCACTATATATTATGAGGGCCTTAAAATCTCGACTAACGAGAAAATTTATGGTTCATTATTTTATCTTATTGCGAATTGATTTCCACCATTTTGTGTCACATTTGTATGAAAGACACATACGTGTTGTTTGCAATGCTCCTCAGTTCCTGAATCAAATGATTTTTTTCTCTGCAGAATATGCAAATGATTCATGCATGATGGAGTTCGGGATGACATTCATAATAAGTAACTTATAGTTTCGGTTTGATTGAAACCTATTGAAGTACGTGTATGTCGAAGGACTTGTGCCATCACTGTAAATACGGTAAAGAATGTGTGCTCTGTATAATACAGGGATTGTTTTCATGAGTAAATTCTCTTGTGGGTTTAGCAGATTATGCAAACCTCTCTTCTATTAGACGTTAGCTAGTTATATGGAAACTACTGCATGTACCCCAGAAGTTCCACATCTGGGCTTAGAGATTGGGAGAGTTTTCTGGGAATCAAAAGTAGGAGATATAGGAAGTTGTAACTAGATGTTCAGTGTTTATTTTCGTTGTTGGATCTGAATTGGAAGAAAAGTAGTCCCTCCACCCCACAAGAGAAAAAGGGCATTTGTCTGCGAGCTGAGCTGCCTTGGGCGCCTTCGGTTGTCTACTTTGCTGCTTTTGAGGTGCCTTTGGCTGCCTGCATTGCTGCCGCATATGCAGTTGCTGTCCTTTCGCTTTCATGTATGTTGAAAATGTTATTAGATAGAATATTTTATTAAACGATAATTTTCCTAGAGTTGATATTATACAGATTGAATTTTAAAATTTGTATCTATATGAACTTATAAAGACTATGCATTTGTGCATAAGATAGAACCACAAGAAACAAGTTTAGATTTGGTAATTTGATTTAGAAGATGTCATACGATTTCGTAAAGGATAATTATATTCATACATTTGATTTTACTTGTTTTACATTTTAATTGCACTCAAGGTCCTTAAAGTTTGCTTATTATAGTATTTATATTATTTTCTAATTTCGAAACATGCAAACGGAATATTTTGATAGAAATCATCATCAACAATGAGATATGCTAAATAATGAAAGTCTGAAGATAAAACTTCGTTAAAATGTGATGCAGTCATTAAAATATGGGTTGCTAATATAATCGTCATTTCGTGAAATGTTTTAATAATAAATTTTATTATTCTAGATCGAGCTAGGTATAGCGTGAGATATTATTATTTTTAGGAGGCTGAAAAATGTAAAACTAAATAATAACTATTTGACACAAAATTTCATTAAGATTTTAATATTTTATATTAGCCCCCCATATTTAGTAGAAACTTCAATTTGGAAAGCTTAGTTTTAATTTAATGTCTACGAGTAATCATAAAGATTTATTAAGAAGCTAACGAATCATCCCAATAATTATTGAATTAATGTATGTGTCTTCAATTGTTCACTGAAAATATAAAATGTCAAGTTTTGATCATTAGACTTATCCAAACATTAGACGTTACAAGCTAGTATGACATATATTTCAAACATTTAATGAAATTGGTGACGTGGCTAACAGAATGAATAGGTTGCATATCGTCACACCATTATCAAATTGCCACGTAAGAAAGCGTCTTTTATTGCTCATTAGAATTTAAAAAAGGCCTTCGATTGCTAACTATATTTTGAAAAAATGCATCCAAACTGCTTACTGAACTTTGAAGTTATCGAATTTTGGGTCACTAAACTTATAAAAATGATGTTGACATATTGTTCACTAAAAAATACGTACCACAAATGCATGTATCGAGTATAAGTAATATTAGACAAACGAGTCCAAATTCTTGATTCCATGAGGAGCGATTACTCAATTATACAATGTTTTGAATAATGATTTTTAAGAAAATGTGTGATTAAAAAGTGAAGAAAAATTTTAAATTTACGTTATTAAGTAAATGTATTATTAAAAATGATTACGTAGAAAAAAAAGTTCCAATAATGATACAAACGGCTAAAATACTAATTGAGGACAGCCCTCTAATCAAAGAGATAGGGGATTCCTCATTGGTTCACTACACGAACCAGACAGTAATTAGTGGCACTTGTTACATGTCTGGTTGAATTCCCAAACAAACACATGGCCGAACATTCTGTGATTTGAAGGGCTTTCTCTAATTGATTTACATCTTCAATGGCCGAGGTAAAAATCCCTACGAAGATTTTTATGTTTTAATCCCATTGTTAGCATAATTCTGTAAACGTTTCAAAGCATCATGTTCTGTTTTTTTTTTATTATTATTATTTTCCTCCTTTCAGTGGATTAATGAAATTAGATGGCTAAATTACTATTTATCCTTTTATATTTTATTTATGTCTGGATGTTTATATATGTCAGCCTTGTAGTTCGATACATTTGCTTTACTTTACATGTTTTAACCTCAAGTTTGTACTGGTTTGCTCCAAATTGTCTTGGACGGGAATCTCAGAATCTGTAATAATTTCTTTGAGAACACAGATAATAGATATCTATATATTCAATCTTGTAGGAGGAAGTGACCTATGCCTGTAATTTCATCTTCGTGTTATGTGTTTGTTTATCGAGTACTGTTCATATGCAGTGAACGATTAATTTAGTAATTATTCGATCTGGGGGAAATAGATTAAAGGACAATAAATTATGGGGGATGCAAGCATTAAAAAGTCTTGATGCTTTTCCGTGTGCTGAAGGAGACAAAATCCGGCACCTTCGGTATTACCCTAAGTTTTGTTTTTCCAAAATGACAATTGTTAAGTTTAATCTGCTCCTCAAAACATTAATATTTAACTTCGGTTGTCACTTGCTCGCCCATAATTAAAAGAGTTACTCATTAGTCACTCGTATTTAAACAAAGTTACTCATCCATCACTCATATCAATTTCATCCATCCACCTAGGCACAAAAATTGTTAAAAATTGACAGCTTGAAAAAATTACTCTAGAAAAATTGGGTTTTTCATTTATCTAATTTGTCCCTTCACCATTTTAGCCGTCAACCCATAAAAACCTAGATGAGTAATAATCAGTACTCAATTCAATCAATAAGCAACAATGGCGGAGCACTTGGTCCCCATTTTCGGAACGGAGAAGGATCGGGTTCAAGATTGGCGACCGCAATCTCCCCCCACACTCATTCTCACCAATATGTACCATAACCGGACATGATGGGCCGGACCTGAGGAGTGGCCCAAGAGGCCTCCGCCTCAGGTCCAGATTTTTTAGGGGCCTTTTTTTTTTTTTTTTATATCGACCTAAGCCTTCAACACTTCAGCCTTCATGCCGTTCGTTCACTTACCTCCAGTTGAGAGACGAGTCCAGAGTCCAGACGGAAGAAACGGCAGTGGAAACTGGAAGTTCCGAGGTCTGAGCTGATTTGGTGGCCGTCAAGAATCAATATAACCTCCCCCCCCCAATACACCACCAGCAAAATACTCACAGAAAGAGAAATCCGTGAGGCCGTTAGGCTCGTGATTATTGAGTAAGCATTTTGTTTGCACTGACTCAACCTCCAGTTTTCTGGTGTCTGTAAGTATTTTGTTTACACTTTACATTGAGTATTGCTGTGTAGTTCTGAGTTCTCGCCCGCTTTTGCATTTCGTTGAATTTTACTTTCTTTCTCTTAATTTATGAAACCACGGGCATAAATTCCAATTTCCACGTGAATTTCTACTCTGAGTTTGTATATCTAGCGTTGATTTTCAGACGATTTTTCTGATCTATTTTTACTTCTGGGTTTTCCAAACGGCAGTAAGCTAGGTTAGCTCTTATTTATAAACTTTTGCGGGTTTTGAGAAATGGGGAAATGTGAAGAATTGCACCAACATGTAAACATGTGGCATTTGAGTTTTGCTTATTTTTCAAATTTGATTTTTGTAAGTTGCTTATTTTGGTTATCTCCAGCATGCTTTCTCTTGCAATGACATTGTCTTTTCCACATGATTTCAAATAAGAAAGAAAATTGATATGTATTTTGTTCTTTTACAACATTCATGATCTGGGTTTCACTTATTTTGTCCAAGAAATCGTTTTGATTTTATACATTCCCTTATTTTCCACTATATCTCTGTTTTCAATTTTCTTCCTTAATTGTCAAATTATATTCTTTTTCAATTTTATGTTGTACAAACAGGAGGTTCGATGTATCAGTATCAAGAAGGCAAATGTTATCAGAACAATCCCAATGTCTAACCAGCAATCCAATAAATGATTGCTGGCCCTCTGTCGGTATGTGATCTGATTTCTATGTATATATTTAAATTTGGTCTTTTCCTCATTGAAGTAAGTATACAAAATATCAAATTGATTTACAGATAGTGTGTTTCTAGGTTAGTGTCACTAATTCTCTTTTTGCATTGAACATTTCTCAGATGAAGTGGGCTGAATAGGGCTATTTTATTGAAATTTGTTTTTATTAATGGTGATAAGCTTGGCTTGGTGAAGCAGATCGTATTTTTACTCTATTTTAATATAGAGTTGTTGGTTGTCTATGTTCATTTCTCGGTTTTTGCTCATTTCCTGCTCTGGTTAATAGTCCAAAGTCCAATTACTAGAAATGTCAATGCATTTGGGTGTTGTTAGGACTTAGTACAAAAAGGACACAGATTCTATCATCTTTGTACTCAATTCTTTTTTAGAAAATAGAACCGATGTTTTGTGCTTGCACCACTGACAGAGGGTTCTTAATCCAGAAGTTGTAAAATTCCCTTGGACGAATGAGATTCTTTATTCTTTTTTATAGATTTTTTGGCTGCTTACTAATGATATTGAAGACACTTTCCATTAAGTTGTTATGCATTTATCATGTCCTAATCATTAATATATAATCACTCCCATTTGTGTGAACTTCAGGTTGCATTTTATAATATGACTTCAGGAAGGCTAACAAAGTTGAAAAGCTTGCTGAAATCATTGAGTGAATATTAAGTAATGTGTTAGTTTTGATACTTGTTAATAATTTCCAAGATTTGCAAGTCAGGAATTTAAAATGATTTTTATCATGTTTTGTTTATAGGCAGGGGCGGAGCCAGCTTTTCAAACTAGGGGGATCCCGGAGTTGAAGGGACGGGGGCTCACGGGGGGTGCTGCCCCCGAAATTTTTTTTTGAA